GTCAGCATCTTCTGCCCCAGACTCCCTAAACGCGGTCACGTAATTCAATCACGACCAAAAAATCGAGGATTCAACTAAATGTCAAAAAAAAAGGAAATGCTTCAATTAACAAGTGTCATTAGTTTAATGTTAGAATACAACTTCTGTAGGATGGATTCAGTGGCATTTCAAATTTTCGAAAATTTAAGGTAGCTCTGAACCCTATCTATGAAATTTTTTAAACTTAAGAAAAAGGTTGTATCTTAACATGCTCATCACAATTCGATCACAATTCGCTTGGATGTCATGTTACGTCGAAGGTGCCAATTAGCGCGCAATGTTGGAAAACAAATTCCAGCTATATAACAAGCAATGTTAAATCAAGGAACACATTTCAGACATTGTATCCTGACTTACCGACACGTCATCCTTATCCGACAAACTGAGCTAAACCATCACATCATCTTATCGACTAATATGATTCATTCCCTAACACAGAAATACGGCACTGTAACCATTCTGTTGGTGTGGCCAATGCCAGTATCATCCCTGATGATCACATGACAGCGTCCTCTGTCTACAACACGAATTACTTGGCAGCTTTTGGTCGGCTCAACAGCATTCCAAACACGTTGGGGTGGTGCACGAGAACGAATGACCGGATTGATGAATGGCTTCAGATCGACTTTGGGAGAACAATTGAAGTGTGTGCTGTTGCTACACAGGGACGTTCAGGGGAATATGCAACAGACTTCAAGCTGTCTTTCTCGTCCCGTGGAAACACCACCTGGACAACTTATATGGACGAAAATGGCGCTGAAATGGTGAGATTGAATTTCATCTATACACGTCATCTTACTGACAGGAGCATAATGTAGCAGGACATGAGTGGATATGACATGACACAACACGACGTTCGCGATAAAATACGATACGGCATGGTAAGACTCGTCACGGTACACGACATGATGCAGGGGACATGAACTTGACACGACATGACATAACACGACATGGCAAGAATCCGTACGACGCGGCACAACATGACTTCATATGACACGACACGCACGGTAAGAAATGATATGGCACATGTACAAGACACGGCACTGCTCCACGAATGAGATATAGCATCACAGAGCAGAGCTCTGCGCAACATGACGAGATATAATTATGCATATTTATTCATTTTTCAGCCACTGTCTCCAGTAGAAGCTGGACGAAAATTATCAGCCAGACATAAAGCAGAAAAAAAAAATCCTCATTCAGCCTAGCAGACCAGTTAGGAAAGATAATAAATGAAGCCATAACACTACTGTACATAGACTGTTCATAGCACTGCACTAAACGAAACGAGGCGACCTGACTTCGTGTCTCTCCCAATGTTGTCTGAATCTCATTGTTACATCCAAACCTATGAGCACCAACTTCGAAAGGGGGAGCGAAGTTGCGGTAGAAATGCGTGCATTTTTTTTATTTCTTCAATGCATGAGACCATATCTTTTTGAGGAAAATTCAAGTAAGGATTTCCCCGTACTACTCTACACGTGTTTGAAGTAATCTCTGTGCTTCTTGTTTTCAGGAATTTCACAGGGATGGTGTCAATGCCCAAATGGACTATCACAGGTTACCAGTGCCTCTGTCTGCAAGATTCATTCGTTTTCATCCAACAAAGTTTTACGGCTGGAAGTGTCTAAGAGTGGAGGTGTATGTGTCAGCTATGTAGATGGTGCCGGTCTCGCGCATTAAAAGCTGACTTGAGAAAATGTTACACGTTACCACATTCCCCTGGCGTTAATAATAAAACTAACCATTTGGGTGGCGAGATTCCCAATCGCCTTCCTTTTTGGCCAAAGTCTTTCAAAATGAATAGAAAGTTTTAGAAACAATTAGTGGAACAATGATTCGAATTTGGAGCTCAAATCACATTTGCGTTGTGCCATCGCCAGGGCAAGGGGGATAACTTCCCGCACAAAGTACTTTTGAACCCGGTTCCCC